CAAAAAACTTAGCTCTGGAAGAATCATAATCAGCATAACTAAGATCATGAGATTTGAGACATATTTATGTGTATTGTGAGTATGCAAATCTTATGTTATTAGCCAAACCAGCTGCTGGATGCAAGAAACAATACAGTGTTATCATCAACTATATTATTAATAAGATAGATAGTAGTGAGCAAGTTCAACAAGTACAGAAATATCACATGTATCACACTGCGTTGCACCTTCAATAACTTTTGCTCTATATTGACTGGAAGATGCTTTCGGGGCTAGAATTCACAGTGATACTACTTGGCAGGGAATGCCAAATGAGAGTCATTCATTGCCGAAGTCTTTAGTATACAGGCAGCACAACATATGATTAAGTAACTGACACTCACCAGCAAAGGATGCATTCCAGATGTTCTCTCGCAAGGAACAGACTTTTATCAAGAGGATGATACACAAGAGGAAACAGAGCGTCTTGATGTTGATGATATGGCATTGTGAGCATGATGTATGCTCATTTGTTATTTTAGATATTTCATATGAACCATGCTTATAAAATTTTTTATTTTGAATTTATTTCGGATATTTAGACCCTTCAGTTATCAGATTCTTTTCCGGAGATTTCTGCTGGTGTTGGCATACTTCGATTGTTACGAAGGTAATTGTAAAACATATCGAAATTTGTTTATCATTATAAAATTTACTTTGTGATTTAGATTCTACACGCGGTTACCAAGATGATGACGAATTTCAGCGGGCGTGACGGTCTCGTGATTTTTCTTTGATTTCATACTCTTCATTTTCTGTGACGGATTTGTTTTGCCGGTGGACTTGATTGAAGAAACAGATTTTAGCTAGTTCTGTTATGTGATTTTCCTTTCTTTTACATGTATTTTGCATTTGTTATGTTCTGTAATGTTCATTAAATAAAATTAGGGAAGAACGTTTAAGATCAAAATATAAATCCTACTAATATGCAAGAACAAAAAACTCACTATCAAGTGATTACTATCTTCACTTTTTATTAAACAAATTTGATTAATTGATTATTTATTTGTCGCAGTCGTGTCTTTTGGGCTTAATTCAGAATATTATGAAGAAGAAAATATTTTGAGTGTTACTGGAGGAAGCTCTTGGCGCTGAAATTTACAAACTGTTTTTAAGTCAAACATTTTAGAATCGATGCTCGCTGATAATATCGATAAAATGAATAGGAATATATTGCAGATAAATTGTTGACTGGCAAAAAAATTTTTCTCTTTCTGCGTATGTGTGTCTTTACTTCCTTACCTGAGGTGCTAAGTGGAAAGCCATACACAGATATTTATAGCTTTGGAATGTAACTGGTGAACCACCATTCTATAGACGAAATGTCTATAAAGGAGTACGACCTACACTATAAATACATTTACATGTAATATTCCGGATGGTGCATATGAAAATGTTGTAATCCTATTTCAGAAAACAGATCAACTGCTGAAGAACTTGATGACTTAGCAAATCTACCTTCGACGACGACAAAAATGACAATGACAAAAGACGACGATGATGAGGATGTATCGATAACAATGACGACGCGGATGAGAATTAGAAACCGATTGATTTGCCCCCCGGCCTGTTAAAGTTAAAAAACAAGCAAATAAAAGCTTAAAGTTACATTTTTTTAGTCTGCTATTGTTCTGAAAAAAGAGACTCACGTCCTGGCCCCCGAGGAGCACTCCTCCACAAATACCCCCACCACCCACCCTTCAATCGGGCATAGTAACACTATTCCCAACACGCGTAGTAACACTTGGTTTTTATTTGAGTATTTTTTTAAAAGAAAAATAAATTTATACTCACATATCAAGGAATACGAGGGAAAAGTGTTATTCAATGATGAATTTAAAGTGCAACTATAAAATAAAAAAGTTTTATCGTAACTTTTTTTATACCTGACAAAATCAAACCAAAAAGAGATTAAAATATTGCTTTGCTTCATGTAAATAAATACTTCTCGACATATTCTTTTTTACATGTAATACAAACAGGTCTATCAACGTAGCACTTCAACCAGCACAACCGTCTGCATATACTGTATCAACATAATCGTTCACATTTTTCAGCACAATTGCTTGCGAGGTTCGACGCAATTCTTTAGTTATACTTTATTATTTTATTATTACTGTGCTCTATCAATGTACATACTGCAAAATTAAAAATAAAAATTTAGAGCATTTTTCAATTTATTTGATTTTCGTCAAATAATACACCAAAATAAAAAATAATATTTAATCGGCCTTCATTTAACTCCAATAATGGCATTAATTCTTCGTGGCATTGATGCAGTAACCTGTTCTGAAATGGTCGCATCAAGTTTTTCCAACTCCATCTTCAGTGCAATCTTAAGTTCGTCCACAGTCGTCGGAAAGCTCTCATTTTTTTGAATATTGTCCTTTAATATCTTTTAAATGTTCTTTATTGGATTCAGGTCTGGGGAATTCGCCGGCCAATTAACAATCTCGTTTATTTTCCCTTGATTTTTTCCCACAGTATGTATCGGTGCATTGCCATTTTGCCTAACTTCCAGTTAATTCCCTAATTGCATTCTGGAATGGAAGTAATTGAGGTTTTAAGATTTCGAGGTAAGTATTTACAGTTATTTTTTCGTCATTTTTTTATATTCATCACAAAAATTAATGGTCCTTCCGTGAAATATCACAGATTTTCATCCACTTTTAAAGATAGGCGCCAAACAATTAACGTTAAATTTTTCTCTAGGATGCCCCCAAACTCTTGGCTGCCGTGACTTCTTTCCAATTTCCACACTGGTTTCATCGGAGAAAATTATTTTTGACCAATCATAAGCTGATTTATTTTTATTTTCTTCACACCATTTAATGGGAGCATATGTATGTGTTTCCGAGATATAAAATTTCTCTGCTGCGATATGTGAGTTAAGTCCGGAGTTGTGCAATACATTTGCGACGGTTGATAACTATAAGTGAGCCCTAAATTGTTGACTATTTCGCGTAGTGATGCATGTAATTTTTCGCTAGTTTCACGTATAAGGTAAATCCTTTTCGTGATTGTAAGGCTGATGATCTTCCTGAACGTGGTAAGTTTTCACTTTTCTGGTTCGTTTATATTTGTTTAGAAAGTGTACTGTTGTAGAGTCGTGTCCGAGTATTTTGCGATTTGATCGGCATTTGTGGTGTTTATGTACGCCAAAATCTTCCCCTTTTACAATTTCGTTAAGCTGCGTATAGGTGGACACCATTTTTTAACTACCTTCTGTGGGTACTGTACATGGAATAAGAATTATAACGATAAATAAAAAAAGCTAACAAAAAATGTATATAACGAATGACTTTCGGGTCTTTAATAAAATAGAATAAACTTGCGTACAATTTTTCTCCAAGTATTAAAACACTTGTTAAGACCCTTTTGCAAAAGGCATCATAATAATAATAATAATAGATTAGTTGGTTTCTTTACGCCAAAAAGACAACGTATTGGTTAGGTCTTTCGATCCCGGCAAAGGCAAACGCATCAGTGAATTAATTGATTGATTTGATTAATAAGTGTTTAAGGCTTTTGACTAGAAAAAGTATCGAATAGAATTAGAATAGCTAATAGTTAACAAGCACAATCCCCTTTTTTTCTCGACATACCCTTCCCATTCCCACGCTGCACATAATCTCAAACTCTCTAATTCTCACGCACCAAATCATATTATTCTTTTGAAACGCATACACAGAACGATATCGATATATGAATTGGATCAAATAATCACAAACAGTCTAATCATTCTCTCCACAGACAAAAATCACTTAATTCCGCCCATCCATATTTGTACCGTGACAGTAATATACATATACTAAGTTGTATGTACTGTATGAACAGATATCAAAATAGATGTATTAATTGAAAAATTAAGACCAAATATAATTTTTTATTTTTGCATGAAATTTTGTTATCAAAATTTATAAAAATGATAACTTTTATCGTTAGCACATGACTATATAGATGGGTCTACCCCAACTTCCCCGACACCCATCTTCTCGATAATCCACCCAACTTCTCGACAATCCAACTTCCCAATAAGCCAACTTCCCGAATTCTAACATCCCGACAATCTAACATCCTGACATACCTAACTTCCCGAAAATCTAACTTCCCGACAAATACAACTTCCTGCCAATCCAACTTCCCGACAAATCCAACTTCCCGCAATATAACTTCCCGACAAACTAGTCTAATTTCTGCTTTTTATAAGGATCGACCACTAGCATTTATTAACATCAACGATAGAATAACGGATCTTTATTTAAAATATAAAATGATATCTGGAAGTTAGATTGTCAGGAAGTTGGGTATGTCGGGAAGTTGGCTTTGTCGGGAGGTTGGAATTTCGGGAAGATGGGTGTCGGGATGTTGAGTGGCACTCTGTATAGTTTGCTTTGAGAATAGGAAGATAGATAAATACTTATGTATTTATTAATTAAATAAACATGTACAGTAATATTTTAAAAAATGCTGTATTTCACAAAACTTATATAATAAACATAAAGATAAAAAATCCAAGATTTTCCAAATTTCAATGGAGTTATATTAATTTAATAAACTTCCCCGGTCAAGTCTAAGTAAAATTATACTTTAGATGTAGCCAGGCTGTAAACTAAATTATAATTAATTATATTAAAATTACTTAAATTACATAATCCTATTTTGCAATCGTTTTTTAATCGCAAATAATGATAAAATTACTGGCATTTTCTAATTTATCTTATTTAACTCAAAATAAAATAAAGTCTTTAGCATATTCAATAACTTGAAATAGATATATAATAACTTTACTTGCTTACCTTCTGAAATCCACCAAACAATTAAAAAATAAAATAGACCTAAAATTTAAATCACAGAATAAAACGAAATTTCCACAAATGTATTACTCATACATCTTTAAACTTTTTTTCTTTTCATATTTTCTTCTTGTTATTTTCTCAAACGAATCGTATACACTTCCGATGACATTAACTCATATTCCTAAAGAAATATCCGAAACCCACACAAAAAAGTTTGCTAAACGATGTTTCTTTATGCCGCGTGTCTATGGAATGGGATGTTTCAATACTTTCGTACCAGTTATCCCATTTCAACAACCTATCCCAATGATGCCGGTTAGCATGATGCCAGCTATGAATGGTAATGGAATGAATGGCGGAATGATGCCAGCCATGCAGCAATTAGGTATGAACGGCAATGGAATGAATGGCGGAATGATGCCAGCTATGCAGCCACAAAGTATGAACAGTAATGGAATGAACGGTGCTATGAGTGGTGGAAATGGTAATGGCAATGGCAATTGAGAATGAAGGATACAAAATTATAAAAATTGTATTTTACATAAATAATATTTCTTAATATATATATGTATGTATATCTCATATATAAATAATATATTACCAAAGAAACTTACATAATCTCTTTAATTTTATAATTTGTATATAATACTTATCCAGTTAATTTTCTTTGGTATAATTATAGATATATAATTGATAAATTAATAGAACATTGATATTTTTTGTCCACACTACCCAGATAAGAAAGCTCATGAATAGTTCTTATAGACAGCTCTGAATCAGGTGATCTTTTCAGGCCAGTGCCTGATAAAACTATAAATAATTTTGAAACAAACTATATTTGTGTGAAATATTAACTTAATCCAATATATATACATATGACTGTATTTATATATCTTAAAATAATAGCTGATTTTGTGTGTTCTAGAATTAAAAACTGAAATAACTGTTTATTAAAATGCTTTATCTATTTAAGTAACAATTCATCAAATAATTAATTGAGATATAAAAAATATATATGTTATTAATATAGAATAGCTAGTTAGTATTAATGGAAATTTGACTTTTTAAGGAGTATAAAAATTAACAAAAATTGAGAAAATCAAATATTTTTAAGAAAATATAAAGCAGTAATAACTAAAAATAAATATTATGATATTAATTTTTAACTGAAAGTATATAAATTAAATTATCTATTGAATATTGATCTTAATATATTGAAATAAAATAGTATTTATCTGATTTTAATAGTAATATATTTAATTTGCTAAAATTTTATATAATAATTAATAATAATCATATTTTTATATCTTATAATTAAAAAACATATTTAATTTTTATAAAAATAAATATTATTATTAATGATATTATATAAATATATATCTTAAAAAATCTGACTCAATAATTTTTTAAGAAATTTAAACAAATTTTAATAAATATATTATATAATATTAAAAAATAAATATTATATTAAAATTCAATTATTAAATATATTAAAAAAATTATTAGAGTGATATTTATTATTTAATAAGATATATTATATTAATATTCTATATAAATAATTACTTGAAAATTTAGTATACAGTTTTATAGTTTTTAGCTTTAGAATATTTATCTATTTGATCTCTTTATTAATAACTAAGACTTTTTATCAAGTTTAATAAGATATTACTATTTTTAATATTAGTTTTAATTTAAATTTAAATATTTTGATACAATTTTTAGTAATTATATTATTCTTTTTAATTATATAAATTACTTTAGTTTTAGTAGTAAAATCTGTAATTAGTAATTAATTATTATTAGTTAATATTATAATTATTTTTCTAATAAAATAATATTAGTAGTCATAGTAAAAAAAATTAATTTGTCTATTAATATAATTTTAATCTTTTAAACTTATTATTTATAATAGATATAAAAAATATCTTGATAATATTATATTATAAAAATAGAAGATGAGTAATAAAATTATTTGTTAAGCTTTAAAATATAGCTTGTTTTATCTTTTTTTCTTATTACTAATATTATTTGATCATTAATAACTATTTTTTAACTAATCTTGATATTTATATTATCAGATATAGATATGTATAATTATTAATTTTAGTTTATGATTATAATTATTAATATATTAGAGTAAGATATAGAATTAGTACTTATAATATTAATACTATTAATTTAATAGTTTTAATACTTATTAATAAAATAAATATAGAATTTAAAGTCATAACTAAAATAATAGAAGAAATAAATAATTTGATAATAATAATAACTTAAAACTTATAGCTTTAGCTTATAGAAATAATTAATTTTTCAGTTATTTTTGAAATTTTTTTTGAAATTTTTTCAGAATTTTTTTTAGAATTATTTTTAGAATTATTTTTAAATTTCTTTCAAAATTACTTTTAGAGTTGCTTTCATAATTATTTTTTAAACTTGTTTTTAATATTATCTTTAATATTATTTTTAGTATTACTTTTTGTGCTTTTAAAATTACTTTTAGTTTATTTGTAAATAATATAACTAAGATAATTTATAAGTTTAAAATTATATTATTTTTTCTTGAAGTAATTATTATTTTTTTGATTATAACCTTGTCAGTAGATGATTTAAACTAATTTTATTATCTTTTATCTTCTTGTTTTAATATTATTTTTATATTTTCTTTATTAATATTACTAATATAAAAATTTTTATTTTTATCTTTTTTATTAATATATATTTTATTATTATTATATTAATATAAATTTTAATTTAATTTTTTATTAGATAAGATTAAGTTTTTTTATTTTTAAATTATTATCTTTTCTTTTTATATTTAATAATAATTTTTCTAATAAATTTTTTAATTTAAACTTTAACTATTTTCTTTCTTATTTATTATTTATTCTGAAAACTCTTTATTATTATTTTTATATCTTCTTTATTAATATTACTAATATAAAAATCTTTATTTTTATTTTTTTATTAATATATATTTTATTATTATTATATTAATATATAATTCACTTTAATTTTTTATCAGATAAGATTAAGTTTTTTTATTTCTAAATTATTATCTTTTTATATTTAATAATAGTTTTTCTAATAGATTTTTAATTTAAACTTTAGCTATTTTCTTTCTTATTTATTACTTATTCTAAAAACTCTTTATTATTTCTTTAAAATCTAAAATTATTATTATTATTTACTTTGTATACAGTGGCTCTCTTTATAGTGGACCTCCTTTACAGTAGAGACTAATTAAAATCACGCTATAGTAGATAAAGGTTCAAAATCATCTATAATAAATTCTATCCGATATAGTGTATTTCCTAATAAATTTTCAAAAACTCTTAATATAGTGGATTTTTGAGAATTTTTTACTAATAGATTTTTTTGATACATTATAAAGAGAGTTACTGTATATTATTAGAATCTTCCAAAATCTTTTATAAGCAAGCTGATAATAAGCAAATTCTTTAATTTTGAAAATCTTTAATTGTTTGTAATTGCATACTATCTTTATCTCTTATTATCACATCCTCTTTATCTGATCTATTTTTTCTATTATATATAACATTACTTTAAATTTATATAATTCTTTCTTAGAAATAACTTTATTATCTTCTTTTAAAAGCTTTTTAAATATATATATATAATTTATTATAAAGAATTATTTTTTTATTTTATTATTTAGGTAAAGAGATATTTAGTTTAATTATATATAAATAATTAAAATAAATTAAAATCAATAATATTTATATTATTATTAGTTTATAAAAGTTAATTATTAAATATATATATTATTATTTCAGCTTCTTTTATTAATAATATATAATACTTTATTTTTGACTTAAATTTATATCAATAATTTGCAAGAATAGTTTTAAATCTGTTATTCTTTTGATTTAGAAGTTATATAATATCAAAATTTATTATTTAATAGAAAAAAAAGAAAATATTTTGATATTATTATAAGTAAGAATATATATATTAATTATTGCAGATTCTGTTCTTTATTTTATTTAATTAAGAATTTTAATCTTTATAACTCATTAATATTCATGACTTTTCTTTCTTCTATTTCAATATTTTACTCTTTTTTGACTTTAAAAGGATTTATTTAGTATATTTCTTGAATAATATTGAATTATTTCATATAGCATCTCTATAAAATCTAATTTTAAATATATTAGCTTTAGTAATTAAAAAGAGGTGTAGCTATAAAGAGATTTTTTTTAATTATAGTTAATTAGTAATTGAAAAACTTAAAAAAGATGACTATAAAAAAAAAGGTGACTATAAGAGTGTGACTATAGAGAGATCTGACTGTAGAATAATTATTTAATTATTTATAATCAAAAAACTAATTGCCATTTTTTTGCACATCACTATATATAAGAGATGATTATTAAAAACATCAATTGTCATGGAAATTGTCTCAGAATTTTTTGTTGAGATAATTCTATTGTCTTCTAATTTATTGCATTCCTAATCATAATTCAATATTTAGTTGAGAACCGGAAATGAATAAGTTATAATTTAAATAATATTATTTCATAAAGTCAAGCTCAATAATTTAATGTCTAATCATATCCGTATTCATATTAGAAATTCTTTATTTTTCAGAAATATCTATCCACGGACTTTTAATAGCAAATTTAAAGGAAATAGCTTGTAAACAAATTATCAATCGAGCAAAAAAACCTATTGATCTCAATTACTTGACAAACATTAGGCAAAAGTGTCTTTGCTTCCTTTACTTTCTTTAATAGCAGTTAGCAGAGTATTGACAGAAGGAACCCGAGTAACAAAATCTTTTGATTTTCCTACGCAAAGATTTAATAAATTCTTTATACTCAATTTATATTAATAATAAAATATGCATGGCATACCTCTGAAACTCCCTTCACACCAGATTCAGCACAATGTAGGGAACAAATTCCAAGTCTAGTAATCAATAATCTCACCATCACAAACATAAAGGATTTAGTGAAATTTCAACTCGATTCTCTACATTCTTTGAAAATCTTCAAAAAACCCAAAAACCCAGTATCTCAGCTGGAATCAATGAATATATTAACGTCTAAGCTTTCAACGATGATTAGTTAGCGTTTGTATGTCGTAAAACAAATTTATTAATGTATACTAATTATATGAATAAAGAGCTTTTATCTACATAAGCATACCATGTGCTAAAAGTAACATCACGTGCATTATGTGATTCCGTGTGCTCAGTATATGTATATACAAACATAATGTAAGTGAATCAATCGAGTTACGAATCGATTTGAAACAAAATTTATTTTTATTTTAAAGTGAATGAAATCATTTTATTGCAGGCCCGAAGAAAAATATTTTAATCATTTTATTCTGAACTACACATAATTGTCATAATGGTATTGTGATTGAATTTTATCTACAAGAAATTAACAACTAAATCAATTCAACTCTTTTAGGTTAATCAAGTTTCATATCAAGGATTAGAGCATACTTTATCACTTTCATCCTCACCGTCTTTG